CACTGTCGTCTTCCTGGATGGGGATCCCGAGACGGGCCACATCAATGGCTAGGGACATTATCAGATATGGCCCAGTCGCGCCCTCAATGGCGCTCGTGCATCCAATCTATTGCCTTCAATGCATAGCTCCTTTTCAACCCCCCCCACTTGAGAGTTTACTGACAGCGCTGGATTTATGCACCAATTTATCAGCTCCCCTCCTGCAATGCGCAGCTACCTACTTCCCCCTCTCCAAATCATCAGTGAACTAAACTGCGGCAGCTACAACCACTGTACGGTGGGTAGGCGGTTATTATAGCTAGCAATGATAATGATGATGATGACATAGCTTCACTAGGGGTATCCGTTCGACGTTCACATATTTGTTAGCTGTGTCGAAGCACGTTTCATAAATTATTGTCTCAAGGAATGGCCACACTGGAAATCTTGAGTTACCTCTCGATTCGTCCTTTTGTCCAGAAGCTTTAAATTGTGGCCGTATTTACTAAGACAAGTGACGGGAAGATAACAAGGCGCAAGAATGATTATGATTACTTTAATCAGATGTAATACCAGTGCGTAAAAATCAACAGCACATTACACGATTGATTTGCAACATCCCGAAATCGAATGATTTTACTTTTGTGACACTATTTTGCGTATAGAAAAAGTTCTTGCTGCAGCTGGACTGGAGTTTCCTCCTGTGGATGGCAGATAAGAACCGTTTAGGTGAGAATAACGTTTGCGTTACCTCGACTCTAAGACGGGAAACCCTCTTGATGCTTGTACCCAAGACAATGAGAGTTTGCTGTTGCTGTTACATTCAAGCATTTCATTCAAATGGAAACAGTACTTACATTTTCACACGCACTAAGGATCTGAATTGGACCAACGTCATATTAAATTGCTTTCACTCGAACCGCATTTCAATTTATGGCCACTAAACAAAAACAGGCATAATTTACTTGAAGCCTGCAAGCATATCTGCATTCTTCTGCATGCTCCCATTTTCTCTAGAGATTCCCCCTTTTATTGTTAACATTTTCGTTGAAATCCTAGCGACATGGTTTTTAGACACATTGCACTGGACTCAGTGCAACCGTTGGCCGTGCCATTTGTTTAATATCGAATCACCTCGATAAGTCCGCAATGCATTGACAGCTTTTTCTACCGCACGTATCTCACGACTCCTATTGTTCAGCGGGAACTCAGCATTCGAACCCGTCTAATAATCAGATTGACAGCAACTTACGAACGCCTAAACGGCGTCCTAAGCTCGGGCCGGAAGTGGAGGCTATCAGTTATGGAATCAGTCTCACTATGTTCTGTTTGAGCACCTGTGTGCCGGAATAGATTCAGCTTAGACATTCTACTATTGATTATGCCATTGAATACCAGCTATGAGGTGTCATTTTTCAGCACGGCCTTTTTTATTTGATTTGCTTTTACAAATTTCAGGGTGGTCAAGACTACCTGGAAGCAAAAAAGTTGAAACGTTTTGGCCGAATTTCAACTCAACAGTCCCCACCAGTTTTCCGACAACCATGTGGGCACGAAATTCCAAAAACTCTTCGATAGTTGCTCTCCTCTAATTGCATTAGTTTATCTAGCTAACATTTATTTTGCTATGGACTGTTCAATTTTACCAAAACACTTTCGTATTGTTAATATTTGGGTTTTTTAGCGTGGCACAAAAGAGTAAGAGTGTTCCCTTGATTTTATGTTCCTGTTGTATTCGGATGGTTGTTTGGAATTCTGTTTGTTTTTGTTCACTGCAATGAATCATGATAAAACCGTTACGTTCCTGTGAGCAGGAACTGAAATCATAGCAAGTTCGGTTCGAAATAGGACAAAGTAAGTTTTGTTTTCTTAATCATCCTTGTGTTAACCATGGTTGTCTAAGATAGCCGTCAACTCGTATTTATGGCTTATTCGGAATCCGCTCAGGCTGCTGTACATTACCTTTTCGGCAAAGCGATCCAGAGTGCTACCAAAGCGGTCCAGAGAAACGCACACTGCGTCTGAGAAATGTCTGGATCGGCCTTCAGGTATTTCATGGTGCAAACTGGAGGTCACACGTCTGGTAATCGAAACCATCCTTTCAACATCCGGTGTTCTCTGGGACAGGTACGTAGCCTGTCCAATGCCGGTGTACGCTTCATTACTCAGGACTAGTGTGGAACAGCAAAGAGCTTATCTCAGGTGGAACACATACGACACCTGAGATTTTACTGGATCTGCAGCACATCCAGAGCTGTCAGAATAACATTTTGCGGATGATTCTGGTACACTCTAGAATGACTGTTATATCAAGGTATTCGCTTGTGGGCTATCGCCGACCCAACTACTACTCACAATCTCTTGTCAACTTCAAGTCCTGAGGTAGCCATAATCTAGTTTTGAAGTATCGGTGTAAGAGGTGCTGCACCTGAACGAGTACAATAAAGGATATTTTCAAAGTTGACAATTTATGGCACGCACATGCGTGCCATATTCGAGTGGGGTACTGTCAAACCAGGCCATTGAGCCTATGTAATTGTGGGTGAACATTAGCTCCTATCGAGGCGCACTGCCTCAGCAAGGCACAACTACAACCTATAACAAGAGCACCGTGCTAGGAGTCAAAGGTTGTCCAAGGTTCTGGTCGCTTATCTGATGGGTTGTCTTGCTATGGGAAACAGAAATACGCCTACTGCTCCAATGTAGGGTATTAATCTAATGCAAAGCACAACGCGACGCCAGGCCAAGGCTTCCATGTTGTGTCAAAGGCTCTCAGTAGCCAAATAAATTCAATGTAGCACTGTACAATATCGATGACTGAAGCAAATACCATCCGCCAATGTAACGCTGTCCGCTGTCATTAAAGTCGCCTTGTGGACGGAGCATAGTCCGGCTTATCTCCATATACACGCATATCCGTTGCTGGACGCACGCGAACAACACACCATTCTTCTCCTACATTGATGCGCTCCAGTCATTCTGTTTAGGGACCCAAACCTTGTAGTTCCTTGAAGCATAACCAATGTCGTGTACCTCATTTTCGTTGCGTAAATTGCTCGGTGTCTCTAGTCAGTCCTTGCAACCGTAAAACCTCATGAGCTCTTACCAAGAAAACCTTCAATAAAATTTCGGGGTACTCCAAAAAAGAATCTTTGATATTTTGATGTGAATATTAACCTTTCCCCCAGAAAAACATTCGCAGCAAGATCCAGTGACGAAACCTACCACGTTTTCTCACCTCCCCACATGCGCCATCTCATATACAGAACGATACCGTAGTTTCTTATCATCCTGTGATCAGCAGTGCCGCCCGATCCACTGGTTGACGAACTCAGATTAGTTGTCTTGGCGAAGCCAGCAGAACATCTGCGCCAATTACTTTCTCTGTGACAACTAAAACCCCGACACACAATTCAGCCCGCAAATCTACGTCTTATGTCGGAAACTTGGTGGAGTAGTTTGCACAAATTGTTGACAGTCTGTAGTCAGACGTCGGGAATTTGAGCCCAGATTTTGTAAAGGTGGTTAGGTTTGTTTAAAAAACTTGCTTTTAAAAAAGAGCTAACGGTAATGGTGATAAAGACGATGGTCATAATGGCAATACCGAAAGAAGTATGACGTGATTTTGAATGTCATTGGGAAAAGCAGTTGGTTTGGTGGCTGACTCTTCGTCCTTGACGTCCATAAATTACACGGTTCGTTAGACAAAACGACCACGTGCTCAACGACTGGTTGAACAGTGGGTAAACTGAAGCTGTTGGCTTATTCAGAAGATCACCCACCTGCTGATTAAAAGTTTATAGGGTATCCGAATGCACACGGATTGTCACCCGCCTGTTGCGGTTTATAGGGTATCCGAATGCACACGGATTTTCGCCAGGACCTTGAAGGTTACCGAGCCAAGGGCCTGGAATTTATCACATCCTAGTGAATATTCAACCGAATCCTAAAAGGCACAACTAGATGAGACCTGTTGCCTCCATAATACTCATCATGTGGGAGGTTTTTGCAATCATCCTTTGAATATGAGTCAGTTTTAGTCGTGGGATCACATAACTCCGTAAAAGTCTACCTTGTTCCAAACTGTGCTATCCAGACGAGAATTTCTGAGATGCCAATGACACCGGACTAAACCGTAGTCCGTTTCTAAGGTCAAGTATTCGGTTATGCAGCATTGTCGAGCTAGTGGAGAGAAGACCAGGTAAAATATTACTAACGGCTGTCAGACAAATAACCGGCAAACGTACTTTCAACAAATGCCAGTTTTTAGTTTACATTTCATACTGTCAGTGAGTTTCGTGAAATGTGCAGTGCTGATAACACCCAATAAGGGTAAAAAGTTTACAGTGCTTCTCAGCTTTCCAGCATACACTGACCTGCTCGACAGGACGAAATCTCAGTTGAACTTCTTCAAATCTCCTCACATCACCATCAAGTGTCTGGTTTCTTCATATGAAGACTTCTGTCGAAATTTCGAATAATGTGGAAATATAATACATGAAAATTAACCAGGATATAATATGTAGACGGCATACTATTTCTTTGCCAATATTGCCATAACCTCTGATACGATCATCTGAACGGATCAATCGAAAATGGTTTTGGCAGGGAACGATTCATAGTGCAATGCATGCCTTCGAGGAGCAACAAGACACCTGCCAGTTCAAATGGGACCAATGGCAGTATTGACTTGGAATGAAGAAATTTCCAGGGGACACAACTCAAGGCTTTTGATTGTTTTCCCTCTTTTGGGGAGTTTTACTGTGGTTCACGTTTTTCAGTCGCGTCAACAATTCGGAGCCCGAGCACTGCAGGCCACAGTGTTGTCTCCAGTAAACTGGCGAATCCATTTGTGAGACAGGTATTTCACAACTCATCCATAAGATGCATTTTTAAGTGTCACGTCAAGGTGAAGCTCACACTCGTCCACGGTAAGGACAAGACAAATAGCTTACAGGACAAAAGGTTTACAGAACGGTAAGCTCTCATGGATTTGACCTTGGCGTGTTGCGTTTAACGGAGGAAGAAACCTAATCGGCTAGAAAAGCTGTCATAGAACGTGAATAATTTATGTGGGTGAAACTTCTGATGTAGTCGTTTCTGCAGAGGTCTTCTTTCATTACCAAGCGCCGAACCACTGCCTCTTCTAAGCTTTTCTTTAACAGTAAGTTCATATTGATTAGTTGTCAGTGGTCGTTACAGAGGACTGGAAACTGCAGAAAGTGTTGCAACTCGCCGGCCATATACGAAGGATAAGGTACGCCGGCCTATCCAAATGTTTCAATTCCGTGTTTACAGATTTCGTGACTCAAATGTTCGAAGGCCTACCGCACATCGTCGAAGCGGTCCGTCCGATGATTTGGGCCGTGGTGTTTACATAAAGTCGTCAGCATAGCCAAACTCCTGTTTCAGAACAAAGAAACGGATTTCTGGAAAGCCATCATCGCACATCACCGCAGTCTGAAACGAAATGGTAGCTGAACATAGTCTGTTCTCTATACTGTAGATCATGGCTTGTGAAAAAGTGGCGTGTGAATAATTTTGGCCAGAAAGCTGTTCACTGTTGTTTTAACTGATATCTCGTTTGAATGTGCTTCTGCAACCCAAGATCCAAAAGCAGTCGATCATGTGAGCTTTTCCCATTTCACTCAGACTCGACAGTTAGACGTTGACGTAAAAACCATACTTAAAACTCCATTGAGGACCATCGCTTGGTGATACTCAAAAGTAATGGGATGAGATGATTGGAGCGGGCTTTTTTGACTGTCGCTCATTCGAATAACTTCAGATCCAACATTTTCCCCTCACTGTTGAATAGAGAAATGGTATAGTGGTCCAAAAGTAATGAGATGATTGGAGCGGGCTTTTTTGACTGTCGCTCATTCGAATAACTTCAGATCCAACATTTTCCCCTCACTGTTGAATAGAATAGTGGTATAGTGGTCTAGCACAACCGACTTCAATCAGTTCGAACCCGAGTTCACCAAACTTTTTTCCAAACTTGTATATATGCAGACCAGGGCATATTCACCGAAGAATGATAAATACCATATGCCATACCATATATATATATATATATATATATATATATATATATACGTAACGCTGTTGAGGAGTCACTTACGCTCTACTCAGGTTACGGGGTCGGACACTGATTGATACGCACAGTATGTGCAAGAATTGCATCATACAAGAGACGTACATCATATGGCTAGCTGACGCAAGCCACAATTCAAGTTGGTCTACACAACGTTGGTCGTAGAAAGTCACTTCTAGCACCGTTGTGGGCTTAAAGCTCCG